TGACTGGGTGGGCGTGGCCAACACAACATCACTCACTCCCACCCAGTCACCTCCTGCTCTGGAATATGGAGCGAGTCCCCATCTCCCGTCATCACCCTTACCTTCTCAGGCCAGACAAGGAGGGGCGGGGAGGGGCCAGCCATTGGTGGGATCAGCCAACAGGGAGCCGCAGCAAGGGGCCGAAAGAGCCACATGTGGCTCCAGAGCCACATGTTGCAGACTCCTGGTCTAATCTATAGAAGCAAAAGAAATTATTGGCAGCATAACAGTGTGACTGAAAAGGGTTTTGATCAGTATTGATATAGATGTTTCTCAAAGTTTTTCTGTGACGGGAAAAAAATCACTTAATTACATATTTTAAATGTACCTTCATTGATCAGAATACAAACTTCTTTCTGGCTCTATGGGATGCTGTTCCTGCCACCTTTCTGTCTGTCTGAGAAATGGGCGTATTCTACATGAGGTCATCAGCCATTTATATAGTCCAAGTAATTCTGTGTGGAGGCCAGAATGGTTTGAGTAAAATTGATCTTTGATTCTATATTTTGTATCTGTCCTTTAATTTAATTTCAAATCAGTTGTGGCAGGAAGTATGGCAGGCATCAAGATGATATCTGTGGGCACATTTATATTTTATACTATTTCATAGTAAACATAATGTTAAAATGTAACTTTTTACAGCAGAAACAAAAAAGTGTGAAAAGTAGCCCTCAACTTACAACCACAGTTGAGACAAGAATTTGTATTGCTAAGCAAAGCAATTATTAAGTGAGTCGTGTCCAACTTTACAACCTTTTTTCACAGTTGTTAAGTGAATCATGAAGCCATTAAGCAAATCCAGATTTTCCCATTGACTTTGCTTGGGAAGGTTGCAACCATTGTAACTACATGCTGGTTGCCAAGCGCCAAAATTTTTATCACATGATTGTGGGGGCGCTGTAACAGTCGCAAATACAAGAACCAATCATAAGTCACTTTTTTTCCACTTACCATTGTAACTTTGGTCACTAAATGAATTGTTGTAAGTCAAGGACAAACTGTACTCTGATGTAGGTTTAATATGTGAACACTGGTTCTACATGAATGCAGTCACCCAGTTAATAAATCTGCACACTGAAGACCCAAAGAAAATAGGGCTTAATCTTTTAGTCCAGCAATGTCGGCAGCAGCAGTTCTCTGTCTTTTTATCTGATGTATTCGAACACAAAATTTAACTTCTAGTAAAATTAAAGTCAGCATGTTCTTCTAAAAGTTAGAATCAATGCAGCAGAAAAAATTTCTCTTCAACAAAGTAGTGCATTCTCATATTTATCTTCAGACGACAGAAGAAACGGGAGTTAAATCACTCAGATGGGTTGTTTTGCACCCATGAACAAACCTGGATTAAGTCACCCACCTCTTCATTTTTTTGTCATTTCTGCCTTGTTTTACCTGGCATTTGCTGCTTTTAATACAGAGTCTAGATCAAAACATTTCAAAGAGGCCTCTTTTCAATGGATGCCGATATCTTTATATACATTAAAGAACTGTTGGCACCCCAATGCCAACTTGCCTTTTCCAATTTCAGGAAGGAGATTGACAAAATTTTAGGACTGGGAAAATGATATAATAAAGTTCAAACGAGGAATATATTCATATCCATGTCTGAAAAAAACCCAGTGTATGTTTAAGGGATTATGTTAGTTATAACAAAGCTAACCAAACAGAATATGCACATCTAACAGATAGTAGTTGTCATTCAGCTCATGATCCCTAGTGGATAAAGGTAAAGACAAAGGTTTCCCCTGTCCAGTCATTAGAGAGCGGTGTTCATTTCCATTTCTTAGCAGAAGGAGCCAGCTTTGTCCAAGACATTTCCTTAGTCATGTAGCCATGTATAGTCATGACTATATGCCAAGGTGCAAGGAATGCTGCTGCCTTCCCACCAAAGTGGTACCTATTTATCTACTTGCATTTGCATGCTTTCGAACTTCTAGGTGGGCAGGAGCTGGGGCAACAATAGGAGCACATCCCATCATGTGGTAGTCAGGTCTCAAACCCAACCTGTCAGCTTTCCAACTGACAAACTCAATGTCTTTAACCACTGAGCCATCACTCCTATTAACCGTGGATCTGATAAAGATGCAACAAAAAGAAAGGTTATTTTCTGCAAAACCAATATTACATTTGGAAAAAGAACTCTGATTTAGTCACCTTCAATGGAACACCTGGCACTATCAATTAATATAAAATAGAAAATGCTTCATAGTTAGCATCTGTATAGCTTTTAAGTGTTCAAACTACATCACATGGTTATCTAACTGTAATCCTTATCAGTTATGATGAATCAATGCTTCTAAGTCTCATACAGCAGATGGAAGGATGGAACTTTTGGCTCACAGGTTGAGTACGAACTATGATCCTCCTTTGTCTAGCTAGGATCCCTAATTTTTTTAGGTCTATATTGTTAATATAGTTCCATGTTCACTAGGACCTCATTTGTTGGGTTCATACATTATGCTCAGGCATAAATCATGACTTACCAACTACAGGGGCAGTGGTGGTTTTCTACCGGTTCAGCCCAGTTTGGCCAAACCAGTAGCTCCAAAGATCATCTATGAGCGAACCTGTTCGCTCCAATGATCAGCTGCTGGGCCCACCCACCTGCCCCGGCTCTATTCTTACCTATATTTCCTGGTTTTCAAGCTCAGCTGTTTCACGCAGCACAGCGGATTGCTCCTCATCTGCTGTTTTATACACAGAGTTTGCAGCAGAAGGTGAGTTACAAATGCTGTGCATGCGCAAAGCACACGCTCACACCAAACCAGTGGGAAATTTTTTTGAAACCCACCACTGCACAGGGGGTGGCTTCACCTAATATTCTAAGCCCAAACCAATACATTAAGAGTGATATGTGAACCCTTCTCATTGAATCTGGGTATTTCTGCATGGTTTATTATCCTGTCATTCTCTCTGCATGCTTTAAATGTGTAGAGGATAAAGTTGATACTGTTTAAATGATTAACTGGCAAGAAATCTGTGCTAAATGATTCGAGCTATGCACTCTTAATTCATAACCAGAGTGATGTGTTGGAGCAAACTTTTTTTTTCATTTAGAATATTTTAACAGTTCTGATAGCCAGTAGATGAATTAAAAAATAGATGGTAAATGATCCATTTTCTACCCAATGTTCTCTTTTAAATATTTATAAAACAAGCCACTGTAATCTATGCATACAGTACATTTCTGGAAATAAAGCTGTTGAAATCAGTACTCTTTAAATAACTCTCTCTGTAGGCTATACTACTTCTTTGCAAAGCATAATGTAGGTAGCAATGCCTATTTATGTTTGTTCATTATAAACAAATTTCACATAGGAGTTCAATATTCCTGCTTTAATTGTTCCACCAGAGTTGCTGATCACCCCCACAAATTGGATTTCAGTTTTGGAAAGGTTTCTACTGCAACAGTTATCTTTGTTCTTGGGATTTGTGGTGCTCTTCTCACTTATTTGATCTCAAACAAGCAGACAATATTTGTGAAAGTATGAGGCTTTCACAAATGTTTACTCTGTGGCTTGTTTTAATGGATTGTGTTCTCTGTCATTTTGAAGAGTGGAGAGTTGTGACACAATTGGAGATGCAGCAAAGCACTTAAATGCAATGATTTTGAATGCACTGGGTAAGAAATTTTCCACTGCTTATGCCAAATAAAGCTATTGCTATTTTGGGCCCGAGATAGCATTCCATCCTTGTCATACTCTTCTACTCCCCCACGCTGTCATACCACAAATCCTCCAGGAATAGAATTAAAAACTCAGCTCTCTATCACCAGTTCATTTTTACCAGAGAAATCTGCATTAGTAATAACTCTCATGGATGTACTTATATATTTAGACAATAATATCTGTTGTTTGAATCCTGTTCCCAGTCTAGTTCAGCACAGAACTTCAGGCAGGGAGAATCAAATTTAAAGCAGATTTTTTTCTCTCTCAAGCAGATGGTAAACATCATGCCAGATGTACCCCCATCCCAAAAAGTATCAGTTAGAACAATTGACCAGTGGAATGGCTTGCTTGCAGAAGTGGTGGGTGCTCCAAAACTGGAGGTTTTTAAGATGAGATTGGACAGCACATGCACAGGGGGGCATGGGGGGCATGCACATTGCCTTCTGGGTGCTGGCAAGCGAGCACAATTTTCGGCACGGGAGCCCAAAAAGGTTAGCCACCACGGCAATAGGCCATTGCAAAAGAAGTGGAAGCCCACAAAATGAGAAGAGTTATATACTGTCACAGTTTTACTGCTCAGTAAAATTATTAAAACTGAAATAAAGTAGCACTTCAAAAAAAGTGAGTTCAGACAATATCTAACCAGCACTAGAATGTGACCCATGATTTAATGCATGGAGAAAAATATAGAAATAAAGAAGTATCAGTAGAAGACTACAAAGAAGGAACAAAGGTTTTCATTTGGTTTTCTTCGAAGACCTATTCCAGAGCACATCCCTTTGAATCAGTTTACATACCTATGCTAAAGATATGAAAGGAGTTTCTTGTTTTGTTTTCCAGTTAGTTCTTCTTCAAGCCTATAATAGACCCTATGCTATGGGTGGGAATTGCACAGTGATATTACAATAGAGAGAATTCAATGAATCCAGCAGATGTGCTTGTGATCAGCTTCACTGGGAATTCTTTTGGATCCTGTTTACTTCTTCATTCTCAAGAACCGTGCCCTAATTTTAGCAAAGTTCTTTTGGTCCAATGGGCAAATAATGAGGCTAAAATAGCTTGCCTGCAAACCTCTGAAGATTCTGTTGTGTCATAAAGTTTGAATGTTTATCTAAAATTTGTTTTTCTCAATTTGAACAGGCCAAAAATATGTACGTGTGGGAGTGTTGGGTTAAGGAAGATTTGCAGTGGACTGATAATGTATCTTTCTAGAAACGCATTTCTGAAAAATATCAAAAAAGCGGGGGGCGGCTGATGCCTCATGCTACTTCTCCGAATACCAATCTGCCAATCAGTTTTCTATTGATCTTGGTTGGTCCTATTGAAGATCATTTAGCACCCATAAAGAATCCTCTGCTTAATGTTAAAAAACTGACAAGTTGTTTAATTTTTATATTTTAAAGGATAGCGGGGGGGAGGGGGGATTGAAAAAGACAGACTAAATCTGTCAAAATCATCAATGAGAATAATGAAGATTTAAAATTGTTCCCTTCCTCTGTATTAGAACTTGGGGTTTGTTTGTTTGTTTGTTGTTTTGAATCATTGTGACTGGGCAGAACTTCCAAAATTGGGAATCTTGATCTTGCAGCCATATTATTTCATCAACATGTGCCTTGTCTTTCCATCTGCAGCAGCCTCAAAAGGCTTTAAAATGGCCACTGGTCAGTCAAACTGCTTTCACTGCAAGGATTCACTTTGTGGCAAACGATACATCATGAAAGAAGAAAATGTTTTCTGTGTGAAATGCTATGACAGCCTTTTTGCTAACTTTTGTGAAAAATGTCATAAAGCCATTGAATGTGACTCCAAGGTAAGCACTAGTTGGTTTCATGACCATCTATACTCCAACAGGAAAATGGGGAAAAAAATTACCCAGAGGCTCAGCTATGTAATTATTATTTGTGATGTGAATCTTTTCTTCTATAATAATTAGGATATTCTTCCTAATGCTACTCTTATGTTAATGCAGCTATAGAAACTGATCTGGCTGAGATTTCCTCAGTGGAATCTTCCAGCTTCATGGGTTTGTTTTCAGCATGTTTTAAGTCAGTAGGAAGCAAAAGGGTGTTATCACTTATTTAAAACTTTAGAAATATTTGATTTAATTTGGATAATGAATATTTAGCATTGTAGCATGCAATCATTTTTTCTGTACTATCCAGACGTGGTATTCAGCAGGTTCTGACCAGTTCTGGAGAACCAGTAGTGGAAATTTTGAGTAGTTCGGAGAGCCAGCAAATACCACTTCTGACTGGCCCCACCCCCATCTATAGTCTGCCTCCCGAGTCCCAGCTGATTGGCTGGGTCTTCTTTTGCTGCCCTGAACAGGAGAAAGGATCTGGAAAGCAGATTAGTAGGGTGGGGAGGGAATGGGGATTTTACAGTATCCTTCCCCTGCCACACCCACCAAGCCACGCCCACAGAACCAGTAGTAAAAAAATTGAATCCCACCACTGGTACTCTCTGATGTGGATGTACTAAATGAAATTACCTACAAGTTGACAATCTGCTATTAGTGTGACCTTGGATATCTACCTTAGCACTTGGTAAATTTACCATCCACTTTTGTTTTGTTAGCAAAAATTCCTAGCAACCTGGTAATTATTAGGGAGTCATGCTTCTAATATCGGCTTTACTTCCAAATGTATCTCTGGACCACAGAATAACACGTAGATGTTAATACAACTAAACAATAAATATGGATGGGATGTTTTCTTTGGGAGCATTCAATCTGTCAACAAAGCAACAGAAAGCTAAGCAGAAGTGATAGGGACAATCCTGGAAGGGGACAGGAGCCTGCAGATAACAATTTCACCGGTTATCTCTGGGGGAATCTGTCTTCTGATTGGCTACATCACAAAAAACACTACATTTTGAATAGACAGGATCTTTATGGCAGAGTACAGAATATCAGCACTTTCTTGATATTCATAAAATGTTCCCTGACTGCACAAGTCTGCTTACTCAAAATTAAGTTGAATTTGGATAGCTGCAAATTTCACCTTTTTATTCCCTAGGTATTGTACCACTTGTCTGGTATGATTGAACTCTTGTGAACCCCAACCAGTGGGGCCCATAGTGAGAATAATGAAAAATGGAGTCCATACCCCTGTCCGGAAGACCATCTGCTGCTGATAGTCTAGCAGTGTCCATTATAAAAATTTAAAATAAAGATTTATATCTAATATTGCTGGCACAGAGATAGGGCCTCATTGTGACCTGATAAAGATGTTTTTATATTCAGTATATATAATCCATTGACACAATACTATACAATTCAATTAAAAGAAAAGAAAAGATTACTTCCACTGTATACACAAACATAGATTAAGATCTATAGATTTCATAAAGACTCAAAGGCAAGTATGTGATTAAGCTTCTAGAGAGATACTGAGAATTTTAATGGTTTGTAGATTCCCTATAGATCAGATAGGATTGGTTTCATCCATCATCTAACTGCAGAAGCTTTAGAAAGATATTAAATAGTTGTATTAACTTCAGTGCAACATTTTAGCTCCCTTAGTATCCCTTTAAAAAAAAAAAAAGTATTTGTTTTATTCTCACAATTTATTCCATAGTGATAATGACATTGATTTTCTTTTCTATGCGTGGTTTCATTCAATTGATAAGATCAACCAAACCTTTAAAATAAATTCCATTGACAAATAGCTAGTGAAAAATGACTTCTTTTCCTCTGTATTGCCAATGGTTTCCATTTAACTGCAGAGATTTAAAGGGAATTTCACTAGAAAATAAAATGACATTCATCATTTTTATGTTTATAACATCATCAGCATGAGCATGATATCTAAGCAAGAGAAAGCAAGAGAAAGGGAGAAAGATTAATGTCTTTGGTAAAAAACAACAACACCATATTTGCTAAATGATAATTTAATTTTTGGATATATCTCTTATACTTTGCAGTTCCAGGAATAGGGCAAGCCTAAATACACTAATCATATATTTGAAGGGTTTTTTTAATTTCATCTTTCTTCAACAATTCATTCCTTCCTTTCTTCCTCCCTCTCTCCCTCCCTCCCTTCTTTCCTTCTTTGTGCTTCCTATAGTTAATTATTAGCAATCACCAAGGAAGGGAGGCATCTTCAATAACTTCACTGAGTCTCTCCAAACATAAATGCACATGTGTACACACATACACATACATTTACCTTTTGTCTCCCCTATGCACATAGGTGACAGCCACTAGCCATGAACAGCTGCCTTGATAGCCCTCTAAGTAAAAAGGTGGTATCTAAATTGAATAAATCATAATGAATCACAATTGCAAAACCATCGAGTGAAATCAGACAGCGAGGAAGAGAGATCTAGGTGATATTTTGCAGGACAGACATTCAACCCCTAGAATTTCCAGAACGTTTTGGAGAAGAAACCTTTCAAACTCCATGCCCATTAGGAGCAAAGTAGCTGAAACACAAATTATATTCTATTTTGATCTAGTTTCTAAAAGCAATTGCTTAATTTACTGTGAATCCTTAGTGGCCAAATTGGATCAGAACTACCCTGGATAACTACCCTGATCTTCTCTATTTCTTTTTTTAAAAAAATAATGTTCCTCATACAAATTTTGTCAGATGATCTCAAAAGTGCTTTTTCAAGGGGCAAGTGGACTTTCTGGTTTTTCTTTGAAGACATTTCGATTTTCAAAGAACGTCTTCAAAGAAAAACCAGAAAGTCCAGTTGCTTCTTCAAAAAGCACTTTTGGGACAACGATTAGATGACTTGTGAGTCTCCATAAACATTTGTCAAATGATGTTGAAGATGATAATATCTATTATTTTGCAGATTCCACTGGAATCTATAGGGTAGAACTGTGTGTGTTTTCCAGATTAGCACTCCCTCAAAAAACAAATGAACTTGGTCACTTTACTTTCTGAAGCAAGGACAACCGTCTTATCACGCTCCTGCATTAAAATTGACCAGACCAGCTCTATTTCAGCAGTGTAACAACAAAAGAATCAGAATGAGGGCAGAAGGTTAGATTAAATGGTTGCATCATGGCTGTTCTCCCATTTCCTTCCTCTCTTAGCCACCAACCATCTTCTGCTCAAGACAGAAGCCTCACTCTGCCTAACAGCTGACTGTACATATTTTAGTTCTGCTCTAGCTGTGCTGCAGAGGCATATGTTCTTCATGACTCCTTTGCAGGGAAAGTACCAGAGGTGGTATTCAGCAGGTTCTGACCAGTTCTGGAGAATCAATAGCAGAAATTTTGAGTAGTTTGGAGAACCAACAAATACCACCTCTGACTGGAGATTTTACAGTATCCTTCCCCTGCCACGCCCACAGCACCGGTAGTAAAAAAAAAAATTGAATCTCACCACTGAGTTCAGAGAACCGGCAAATACCACCTCTAACTGGCCCCACCCCCCATCTATTATTCTCTGCCTCTTGAGTCCCAGCTGATAGGCTGGGTCTTCTTTTGTTGCCCTGCACAGGAGAACGGAGCTGGAAAGCAGATTAGTGGGGTGGGGAGGGAATGAGATTTTGTAGTAACCTTCCCCCAGGAGTGGGGAGGGAATGGGGATTTTACAGTATCCTTCCCCTGCCATGCCCATCAAGTCATGCCCGCCAAGCCATGCCCACAGAACCGGTAGTAAAAAAAAAAATTGAATCCCACCACTGGAAAGTACTAATTTAAAACATAAAATCATAACAAACCTCAAGATATACAGGTCATCCTCAACTTACAACAGTTCACCATTCAAAGTTACAACAGCAATGAAAAAAAAATGACTTATGACCATTTTTCACAGTTACGATCTTTGCAGCATCCCCATGACTATGTGGTCAAAATTCAGAGGCTTGGCAACCGCTTCATATTTATGACCATTGCTGTGTCCCAAGATCATGTGATCCCCTTTTGTGACCTTCTGACAAGCAAAGTCAATAGGGAAGCCAGATCCACTTAACAACCGGGTTGCTGACTTATCAATTGCAGTGATTCACTTAACACCTGTGGCAAGGAAGGAAAATGGGGCAAAGCTCACTTAACAAATGAAACTTTGGGCTCCGTTGTGGTTGTAAGTCAAGGACTACCTGTACAGTAAACTGCTGATTCCTTTCCAGACCGTGGTAAAAGTGTAATCTTCTTGAGAATATCACAAGGAGGAGGAAAAAGGGAAGAGGGCTGAAGGGCAAGGAATTTATCTTCTTTCAGGTCCTTGTTGAACAATTGGTGTGAAGTCCAACAGGTCATAGTTTCAGTTGGGAACTGGGTAGCCAATGCTTTTTTCTTTTTTTGCTAACATGAATTCACTCTCTCCAAGGATCTTGCTTATAAAGGCTGCCACTGGCATGAAACGTGCTTCAAGTGTGCCCAATGTCATCACTCCCTGGTTGAGAAGCCCTTTGCAGCTAAAGATGAGCGCCTGCTGTGTACAACTTGTTATTCTAATGAATATTCATCTAAGTGCTTTCACTGCAAGAGGACTATTATGCCTGGTAAGATAACAGGAAGCTGGAGATGGGCATTCCTTAATGGGGATAAATAAATGAAAAGGGTGGGGATGACCTGGAGGCATTGATTCATGGAAATTGGTAAGGGGGAAAAAATCTGATGGGGGAAGGTTTCTTCCAAGGACCTTTTCAGGCGAATGCTTCATTGTACGTGCCCTGCACAGACCATATGCTGCTCTAAAAATCAGCTATTTCTTTTCCATCCCATGACCTATTAATAATTCTTCATCTTTCAAGCATTTGGGACTGGTAACTATAATGGGAAATGACTGCTGGTGCCTCTGTAAAATGTGACACTGTTGATACAGTCTCCACTACATCAGAACCATCAAATTTTGTAGTACCTTTTCTTCCTATAGAACTGTAATTAAAATTATTCTTCATGCACGTAAATACTCCCCAGTCTTCTTTTCCACTGGTATCACTGTTTCTTTCTTGCAATGCCCTCTCACATTCTTAAGCCTGTATGTATATATGTATGTATATACACATGTACTGTGCATATATACTGTACATACATTCACACACTAACCACATTTGAGAGTTGAGTTGTCCCATTGATGTCAATGGGATGTCCTTTCCTTATAAAAAGAACTCTGGAAGACTAAACGCTACTTGCTGAAATGTGTGTGTGTGTGTGTGTGTGTGTGTGTTTAATCCAAATGGTTACAATCAGGGGTGGGATTCTACCAGTTCGCACCTATTCGCTAGAACCGGCTGTTAACATTCTAAGCAGTTCGGAGAACCGGTTGTTAGAAGAAATTACTGGCCTAATCCTGTAAGGAAGGCAGGAAG